GAGTGCTGGATGTCTTACCCTGTCACCTTTCATTCCTGGAAGTCCAGGGGGCCCAGGCAAGCCCGGGAGGCCAGGGTTACCAACAGGACCCTGAAAAACAAACACAAAGTCCCCAGAGTCACTGTCATTGCCACACTGAAAGCACAGTAACCAGACACAACCTGGGCTGTGTTGACTCGTGTGTCTAAAATAAACATGCTGTGTTTGGTTTACCCTGCTCCTCGAGTTGCCTCTCTCCCATATTCTCAGAGGAAGAGGGGCCAGTCCCCTCCTGGTCTCCACCCACCTCTGAGGTCCTGATTCCCTTCGCTCCCTTGCAACAGTAGGCTCTTTCAGCCAAGCCCCTGCAATGGCGCTGCTGCTTCCTGCTGTGTAAACAAGCACTGCATAAGGCAGCATTCACTCTCAGTTCTCTGCAATTCCAAGAATAACCAGAGGCCAAATGTAGCACTTTGTGTCTCTCCTAGTTTTAGAATATATGCTATAAACCACACGGATTAAAATATCCTCCGAGGGTATCCTAGATATAATTTGAAATTCCACATTTACATTTTCACACATTCACATAACAGTAGAAATCAACTACAACTGATTAAACTGTAAATTGTTTTTCTCCTCTGGCTTATTTTTAAAAATGTGTTGTGTTTTGTAGAAAGCAAATCAATGAAACATGACTTACCAGTTTACCTGGTAAGCCTGGGGATCCTATGGGTCCCATTTCTCCTCGATTGCCCTTGTAAAAACACAAACATCGTTGTCAACTGGATATTTTGCCAAAATTCAAATGCTTGATTACGATGTAAATAAAATAAGATCCTATTTAGGTTTCTGTTTAAATCTAAAAGTCATTGAAGTATTCTCCCCATCCTGCCCCTGAAGGTACAGGCCATCATACCCAGGGCCTACAGCATCCTGTGTTCATCTCTCATTAAATGCTCTAATGATGTTTATTGTGATTACAGATCAGTAGAAATGATATCTGATACATGCATATCAAGTGACAATTAGTAATTTTTAGCATCCAAATCACATTCTAATTTTTATTATGGTTATTTTTGTACACATCTTATCCCCTCAGACTCTGTGTTCTTGAGGTACAGGTATATATTAACTTGGATTTCTGCACAGTGCCTAGAACACAGAGTAAATTTTCGGGTCTACAGAACATTTTAAAGCAACATCTGGCAAATGATCTTAAACCTCAAATGAGTGAAAAAAGAAACACAGGATAGAGATGTTTGCCTTTAAATTACTATTGCAACTTCAAAAAGACACAGATGGTAGAAATTTATGAAGTTTCTGAAATAAAAAAAAAATCTTCCTCATTCTTGTTCTAAACACATTTTACAAGATTAAACAGACTTTTAAAAGGATAATTTATAATGAAGATACACTAAAAGCAAAACTAATTTTATTGTGAGCTAATTTCAATTTTTTATTTGAAACTGTAAGCTTTTCAAATCTATTGGGGAAAGGAGACACATGAACTTTTCAACTTTTTCCACTGAGAACTTCATACAATTTATACAGTCTGATAAAAACTCATTTTATTTCTAATGCATGTTCAACTAAGCTGAACACTAACATTATTGATTCTTCATTTTAATTTCACTTCCATCCTTTAAATCCTTGGCCATTCTAATCACATTTCCTAGAACATGTATATAAAAATGAAAGGAGTCCCTTGAGTTAGTTTTTATTTAAAACGACAATGACAACTCTGTATTAATGCTTAATATTTATAAATGCTTCTGATAAGATTACTCTATTCTGACCCTTATGCTATTCATTCATCTTTAAGTTTAATAAAGTGTCAAAATACATAAGCCTTCTGAAATTTCAGTTTCTCTAAAGGATTAAGAAATGTTTGCCAAATTACAGCAGTCTCTAGCTATGAGCGATAATTTTGTGATTGTCATTTGAAATTACTTTTGGGTGATTTAAACTAAATGCTCAAGAATTTTTCAACAATTTTATATAAACAACCTATCTGATATATGAGTTTTGGATGATACAGTGGTCCTGAACTCTCATGAGCAGCTTGGAAGCCAGAGGCAGTGTCCTGTGAGGATGGATGCTGGAAGGATGTTAAGTCCAGACGAAAAGCAGTCGCTATGATAGATTCCTCTATCCATCTATAAACACAAAGACTGGGTTCCACCCCATTAATTTGGCCT